CAGGAGGATTCCATAGCATACACCTTTATATGGCTCCTCTAAATACGGCTGACCAGCAACACTAATACACAAAAAAAACGGACATTTAACTCTAAAGTGCCATTCTCATCAAGGACGATAACATTTTAATTATCCTTCTAATTCTATAATAGATAAGTCCACAAAAAGATTGTAACAATAATGACAGAGGAAAAATATCATTGGAATCACTTTTCTTTCCCTGTGTGCGCTTTTAAAAAATGGAACGTTATAGCCCTGTGAAGTGGCCCAGCACTAATACAGTTATATTTATAGTCATCTTTTTTTTATATGAACGGGCCGTTACGCTGCTAAATAGTTTCTTTGCTTTTATACATTTTATCAATAGTCAAATCTTCTAGCTAGCTGAAAACAATTAAAATGAATGGATGCTGGAAATATTTGGTACCACATCAGTGCGCTACAAGATACACAATAAATAAAAACAATAAGTGTTCTAAAATCGCCTCAAAATATCAAACATATTTTGATTTCCTCAGACTGGAGGGAATCATAGTCTGGAGGTAAAAAAAAATGATGCCCATCAGACATTATGAAATTTTCTGTGAAATCTGTTAAATCCGACTGTCCAAAATCTGCAGACTGACTCTGGCTTTCAGCTTTCTTGACTGCAAATTGGGGCATAGATCTGGGCAAAAGTTGCATAGTGTATTTCAGCCTTCAGTTAAACTTCTACATTTTAAATCGATATTAAACAGCAGCCAGTTATGAAGACTTGATTCATGACATGATTGCACATGGCTCACCTGAGACATAGATTAGCTAAGCAATGCACAGCAGAACGGCGCAACTCTATGTCAGGCTGGCTGGGGTCACCGTAGTTTACCAGAATACCGCTCAGTCCAAGGAGCTCTGGAAGATGCTAGCCAGGATTCAAAATTAAGAGGATTAGATTATAAAGAGTATAAAAAAAGTGGGAGTTGCCAGATCTGTGATTCTTACTCTGTGACACCTGGATCCATTGCCATACACTAGTGATGAGAGGGCAAGCAACACTTCCGGGTGAGTCCATGAACTGCATGTGCGCAGAGCATGTGTGCAGTATGATACCAAAACATCAAGCGTATGCTCATCCACTATTACCTGTAAGTAGTAACAAAAAGTATTTAAAAATGATGCCTCTTGATAAGAAGTCATATGTATATTCAATATATGGCCACACTGTAAGTTAGGGCTGCACGATAAATCAAATGGAATCGAGATCGCGATT